CCATACTTTCATAATCTGTGATCTGAAGTCTTGTATGGGCGTGGGGCTCTCCGTGTTGTGAATGGAACTCTACAAGCAGATGAAGATCTGACTTCCACTGTAGCCAGCAGTGAAGTGGCCTGGAAGATGAGGGCTGTGGGTAAAGCAGGAAAATTCGTCGCGACACTTTGTGTAAACAGGCTATGTAATTTGCCCCGGTGGAAGCGGTGTACGTGTCCTCCTACCTACTTAATCTAAATGAGAGATCCCAAGCAGTAATAACCTTGAACCAAGAGAAAAGGTGGGATATAAATGTTTTAATGAAAAAATAATAACTTTGGGCAACAGAAGTTCTGGATTTGTTTATCTTCACTTCAGTAAGCTGCATCTCTTCTCTAAGGTTGAACTCCCTTAGGTTCAGGTTCCAGTGTTTTACAAGGAATCTTGTAATACATTTTCTTGAATGGCAAAAACTGACTATATCAAATTGGTTTTCTGCAGTGGGATAACTTTTATGGCTTTTCTTGAAAGGTGCCACAGCAAAGATGTATATAATTCTGACAGTTGTGCCTCTGGTATCCCTCAGCACATGTAGCACTGAGTACTTGACAAAGTCCAGTGAAGCAACTGAAAATTACATGAACAATTGAAAGTGGTGGGGCTAGGTGTAGGGTGATGGATAGTTGGGCAGCCTTTCAAAAAAATATATATAATTTTCAGAACATGTAGTAGCTGCATGTCACATCCTGTGTATACCAGCTAAGTTTAAAAATGGGATGACAGTTTTGCTGGCTAAGTAACGTTCTAAAACTTACTTTGGTGGTGGCCAGGATTAGGTTGATGGAGATTGAACTTTTGCTCGCTGAATTGATTTTTATGTGTTTAAAATGGTTGAACCTTCCTTTAATCTCCAAAACAGGAAAATATATGGCTGGAGCAAAGTAATGACTAAAGACTTCTTATTGATAGTAAATCTGTTGACATGTTAGTGTATATCTGAAAGTAGCCTGCAGAAATGTTTTTTCACTTCTCTGATTCAACTTACTTTGGTATTGGTAGCTGCTTGGCAGCCTTCAGATGTAGGGGTGTGCAAACCCTCCCCCCCTTTTTTTTACCAATTTGGGTCTATTTATTATTTATTTATTTATTTATTTTTGGGATTTATATCCCGCCCTACCCATACGGCCCAGGGCGTATTTGACCAGGAAAATATCAGTTTTCCCAAATATCCCCAAATATCTGTATTGTATTGGTATTCAGGTAAATATTGGGGAAACCTGAATTTATTCGACTCCATTATTCCTTGTGGGGACGGTCCCTATAGGGTATAATGGAGAATTGCACTCACTGAGTCATGCTGCTGTGGCCACGTGACTCTGTGAGTGAACTGACGACATTTAAAGTTTAAATGCGTTTAGCTCACTGACCAAGTTGGGCCACTGCCACCACAGCATGCAGCTGCCATTTTCCTTGTTATGCAAGTCCTGTCACACAGTTTTTATGCATTCAGAAACAGGGACCCCAAGGTTGCCTTCAGTACTATGTACACATGCTATCTAAGCAGCCGTTGTGGAGCATGTATGCATGGAAGCTCCCAAATACTAAGCTCAGTCCAGACATTATACTAAACCACAGTTAAAAGAGCAATTATTGTTTGGTGTGATTTCTGAATTTGACAGACTATGGTTTGCAATCAGTCAGCTGACACAAGAATTGGAAATCATGATTTGAAGGAAGGTTACTAGTCATAACTTGTGTTAACTGTGGTTCTGAGTGATGTCCAGACTGGTTATGGTTACAACTGATACTCCACCACTAGAGGAGACAGGAATGAATTTATGAGCCTGAAGGTTTAGCAGGCGAAAATGAAGGTAGCTATAAGACATAGGCTGCCTTTAGATAGGTAGTTTAATCCACTGTTGCCCTGCCTCTAATTGAGCCAGGTTATTTTGTCCTGATCAGACTTACCCCTTTTGCACTCTTCAAAGCGCTTTTATGTGATCAGATGGCAGCAGGCAGGGAGTCAGCCTGCTGGCCATTTTTTAAAACGTTTGTCATCTGAGCATGCCCACAAGCACTGATCAGCCTGTTGGGATACATAGTTTATGGGGTTGTTGGCCATTTTTTTTACAAACTTTGCCCTCTGAGCAAGCACACAAGCACTTGCTGAGACTGCTGGGATATGGAGTCCACTACCATCCTCACTACCATCTTTTCAATTCACCCCTTCCCCAAAGGGCAGAAAAAAGCTGTCTTTCTTTGAGAGTATTTAAAAAGAAAACAAAGTTTTGAGCAGCCCCTGTGTGTGTGTGTGTGTGTGTATGCAGTTATGTCCTCCTCGCTAACTAGTAAAAATGGCGGCTCGAAAACCAGCAACCAGTCAGACCTGCCTTGACAGCTTTTGTGCGCAACAGAGTGATCAGACAACAGGAAATCCATTTTGGAACCAGCTCAGACCAACAGGACCAGACTTTCTCAGGTATCAAAGAAACACGCAGTAAGGGGGGGGCGGGACTCAGACAATTAGGGCACAACAAACAGATGTTGCTGTCTGATTGTGCACTTTAAATCTGTAAGGGAACAGCAACGGCAACAGATGAAACTGCCTGTCCGAACGCAGCCATAGTATGCTCAGTGTATGTTTGGAAGCTTAAACTGTGGTTGGTGCAAATTATGGTTAGATAATGGGGCTGTGTGCAGTGTTTTCCAGTACAATCCCATGCCTGTTGACCTAGAAGTCTATTGTGTTCTACTGTGTTTAGGATTGCATCATTAATATTCAAGTTACGATGACTAGTTGTTGATAAGGAACTTGTGAAATACAAGAGACTTTCCAGAGGAGAAAATGGTGGATTTTCATCGGCTTAGGCCACTGTGCCTGGCCTCTGCAGTTTAGACTCGGATGAAGTAGAAAATATTGGTGTGTAGTTTGAAGTAATAGATTCAATGGTTTAGTTTTATGCAGCTGCTTTTTATCCTGCTAGTTTTGTTTGTGTGTGTGTGTCCCCACACTGTTGTTTTAATCCCTGTGAACTGCCTCAGGAGCTTTTAGCTGGGAGTGTAGGATAAAACTTTTAGAAAACAAATAAGTAGGGGGAAATCTGTTGAAGATCAGTCTGTTTTATGAAGATTTTGAAAGAGGCAATCATTGTGATGTCTTTTCGTTGTAACCTTTTTGTGTGCTGTTGTTGCATACAATATATATACCTGACAGCTACTGGCTAAGTAACCAAACATATTCAGGGTGTCATAAAACCCTGAAATCCAAGTTCTGTGTAAGGTTCAGAGATGGAAATATTTGTTGTTCAAGTGTAGAACACATTGAGGCCATTTCATGAGAAATACCAGGCTGTAGGTAATCAGCTATTCTAATCTATATTTCTCTTTTGTGAGTATGTGGAAACATTGGTTGCCCTTGTAATAGATATGTCACATGCTGCGGTCGTGTGTACTTGCCACAGTTGCCCTGGAGATGTCCTTGCAGCGCAATCTAGCCTTCATTTCCCTCAAACAGGTAGAAATATAACAGAGGGCTGCTTTAAGTTTTATGTCTTGAGAAACCCAGGGTGGTTGTGGTCAAGATATCCGTTGGTCAAAAAGCCACACAAGATTGCCTCAGCCGCCTTTCTCTCTTGCTCTTTGATTAAAACAGACTTCCCAGTGACGATGAGTCTTCGTTTAAGTAGCATCGTCTACTGTGTGTCAAATGGTTGTTTTTGTTTGGTGTTCTCAAAGGATGGTTCTCTCATTTGTACTGGCTTATGTGCATCTGTGGCTTGCTGGCACATCATGCGAAAAACCACACATCACCTCAGGCGCCTTTGGAGGAAAAACGGAGTGCTATGACGCACATCCTTCAAAATAATTTCAAGAAGACAACCCGTTACAACTACAGAATTGTAAAGCTGTAAGATCTCAGAGCGTTGCCCACTCAAGCGTTTGTGGGATTTGATGTTCTCAACACACTTTTCAGAAGCACTTTGTTTTTGTTCACACTAACCCTCAAAACTGTAAAGTACATTTACTGTATACATACCTTAACCATTCCACAAATAAGCAACCCTGTGACCTTTAAAGAGTATCAAGCTTGTCCTTTATTTCAAGAAAACATTTGTTGGAGAAAATTAGCAGAAGGTATGGGCAGTGGTACTCTTGAGAGTCCCTTGGACTGCAAGAAGAACAAATCAGTCAATCCTAAAATAAATCAACCCTGACTGTTCCCTGGAAGGCCAGATAATGAAACTGAAGCTCAAATACGTTGGCCACCAAATGAGAAGGGAGCACTCACTGGAGAAGACCCTGATGCTGGGAAAGACTGAAGGTCAAAGAAGACGGGGACGGCAAAGGTTGAGATGGTTAGACAGTGTCATAGATGCAACGAACATGAAATTGAGCACACTTCAGAGGACGGCGGAAGACAGGAGGGCCTGGCGGGATCTGGTCCATGGGGTCGCGAAGAGTCGGACTCGGCTGTGCGACTGAACAACAACAACATGGGCAGTGGTGGTGTTAGTGCCTTCTGCCATGCCTAAGCGTCTGCCATATCTAATTTGTTTTGTAGGTAGGATTGGGTGACTTTATAGTCCTTTTGGATGTATTTTAGTGTAATTTAAATCAGTGCTTTCATGTTAGGCATACTGTTTATATCTGTATGTCTCTTCTTTTAGCTCAGTACAGTGAAAAATTTAGAGCAGATGCAGCTTGTAACTGGCAGAATGCTGCAAATGTCATTCTGGAGAAGATTCCTGTATCTTAAAATAGATCTAAACACTGTAGTTAAATCTTATTACTGTGGAAAGAGTTTCACCTTTGTTTCTACTGTAAATACAGGTCTTCAGCTGTTCCTCTTTTGGTTGCTATCCTAGGTAAACCACATTCGAAGGCTTTTCTTGGTGGGTTCTTGGGGCTTAAAGCATCCTTGAGAGAACAGCTTAATGATTTTGATTGTCCTGATGAAAGCAAACAGAGTCCAGCAAGTGAAATCGCATTAAGATTCGTAACTTAATTTCCTCACTTTGCAGACCTCCACAAGCCAAGCTGTCTTTCACCTCCAGTCTGGCATTTGTCAGCTTTTTCGAGAGACACTCATTGGCAAGGGGTTTGTGGAAATTCAGACTCCAAAAATTATTTCAGGTAAGAGCCTCCTTCTTTACAATGAATTGCAGAGGATGACAAAGTGGGCTGAACGTGTTACCATGCCAGAAAGCATTAATTGATTTTTTTAAAAAAAGTAATTAACCACTCATGAAAGCTGTCCTTTGAAACAAAAGCCGCTTAAGAAGTGCTGCAGGCTAACTTCTGTAAAATATTCTGTGTGTACAAGCTCTGTCCACCTTCAGTCTTATTACGGTTTTTTGCGCTGTCAGTTTTTCAGCTTTTAAACCAAAGATCCACAGTAAAAAGTTAATCCACTGGATAAAGAAACAAATCATTTTGTATCATGGCAGGTAAAGAACCCATTGACTAAGCTGAGCCTGCCGAGGGCCATTAGTAAGCCTGCCACTCCTCCACCAGCTGTCCACGTGACCCTTGTCGGTGCCTCACAGCTATTCAAAGCCAAAATGTCTGGGAAGGGACAGAAACCGTAGAAATGTGGATTGTGATATCCGCATGCTTGCTGCCATTTCCTCCCCTCACAAGGCACCACCTGCCTGCTGTCTTTTCTTGAACTGGTGTTAGGGCTGTCCATGGAGAGAGAGTTTTTGTGGTGGGGGGGGGGGGGGGGGGGTTGGACACCACCAAAAAAAACCCCTTGGAGATGGAATGTGTTCTTTGCAGGTTTGTGTGAGAGGCTAGCCCATTAATCTAGTATCCCTTAAACTGGACCATATAAGTCAACTTAATAATCATTGTTTGACCTTCTAGAGAGAGGCTGCATGTTAAGAGTTAAGTTTTCATGTCTGAAAGCTGTAAAGAAAAGCTGAATCATGGTTGCATGTAAAATTCAAGGAATCAAAGCAAAACTGGGGGAGCATGTGGTTTCCTTTAAAAACAAGAACAATATCCATGTAACGGGACCAACCAAAATGAGAAATTATTCATTTAGAGAGAGCTGGGTGTTCAGTACCCCACTCAGAGCTTGCCTGCGAAGTTTCCCATCCCTTGATGAGTAATGTCTTGTACCCTTTGCTTTTCAGCTGCCAGTGAAGGTGGTGCCAACGTATTTACTGTCTCCTACTTCAAAAGCAGTGCCTACCTGGCTCAGTCCCCACAGCTTTACAAGCAGATGTGTATTTGTGCTGACTTCGACAAGGTTTTCTGCATTGGGCCCGGTAAGGGTGACTGGTTTGTTTTGCCTCAGTTACAAATGCAGCAGCCGTGACTCTAGAGGGAGGATGAGCTCAGTGTTGGAGTTGCGCAGGTAGTGAGGCTTGCAAGTCCTTCTCCCTCCGAATCTGCAAGCCCAACAGAAGTTTGACACAATGGCTGCTAATCCATATGGCCCCTTTAACAGAGCTTGCAGGTGGAACAAATATATTCAGCTGGAATCAGACCCAGGAGCAGACCAATGCTGGCCTCTAGTGGCCACTGCAGTATCACACAGCAGCTTGCCTCTGGAGCGCTTGGTATGCCAAGGACCTTACTGCAGGCCTTCTAAAGTGGACCTACTAAATGCCAGGGGGTTTATTAATATAGCTGGAAATCAATGCACACTATGCAACACATTTTTACGTTCTGATTTTCACAATGTATTGATTCAATTGTTAGCAGTAGAAGTGTTGCATGCTTTTCTGCTCTCTCCCCAACCACACAGAAGCTCTTGAACAGTAAGGTATCCCGGGCCGTGCAGCTCTTCACACAGTAGAAGAACACGCACGCTTCTCTCACACATCGTGACTGGATATAGGAGCCGCGTCACACACACACCCATCTGGGCTCCTTTTTATCAAGGGAGAGAAATTGTGCACACGGCACCAACATGGAATCCCCTGGCTCATAAAGGACCATGGGGGGGGGGCTGTGGCCCTCCTCCGTGGTGCCACTCTGGGCTACACGAACTAGAGCTGTTTGCAAGAGACATAGACTATTGGAGGCAGCTTCACGTCCTCTTGTCGGCTTAATGCTTTGACTTGTGGTTGCAGAGCTGTTTGGTGGAACTGGTCCCTGCAGCCCATGCGCACCAGTGACTCGAGTCCCATGCCTCCATACCACTGTCAGGCCACTGCTGCACTGCCATGAACCCCTTGCATAGTGCACAAGCCCAGAGTATAGAAAGTTGCAAACACTAAAGCCTTGATGCATATCCAACACCAGCTGCTGCGGAGAAGTATCACCAGTGTTCCGTTGGAAGTCTGTGGGGCTGCTGCTTGACTTCTGTATAACATCTGGTTTTCTGTATAACATCTGTATAACATCTGGCCTTTTGTCTCTTGTTTCTGTCAGCATTTTAACTTGCCATGATTTTTAAAATTTACTTCCGAGGGAGGAGGCGCTGTGGCTCAGTGGTAGGGCATCTGTTTGGCATGCAGAAGGTCCCAGGTTCAATCCCCGGCATCCCCAGTAATGATCAGATAGGAGAAGAAAAAGAGGAGAAGAGATTGGATTTGTACCCTGCCCTTCACTACCCAAAGGAGTCTCAGAGAGGCTTACAATCCCATTCCCTTCCCCTCCCCACAAGACACCCTGTGAGGTAGGCGGGGCTGAGAGAGCTCTCTTGAGAACTGCCCTTGAGAGAACAGCTCTGAGAGAACTTGTAACTGACCCAAGTCACACCAGCAGCTGCATGTGGAGGAGTGGGGAATCAAACCCGGTTCTCCCAGATTAGAGTCCGCGCTCCTAAACACTACACCAAACTGGCGGTGATGTGAAGGACCTCTACTTGAGACCCCGGAGAGCAGCTGCCAGTCTGAGTAGACAATACTGACTTTGATGGACCCATGGCAGCTTCATGGGTTCATGAGGGTGGTAGTCAAGTTTCCGTTTTATAACTGGTAGAACAACTTTAATAAGGAAAGATGAGCTTGAAAGTCTAGGAAGGAATTGTTTGTACCATATTATCCTTCACAGTGCTTGAAAACAGCTCTTTTTGAGTGTGAGCTTAGGAGGCCTGCTTCAAGTAAGAGCTGCTGTCGTGCCCAATCACAACAGTGCCGCACTCGGATGCTACGGAGTCCCCCCCCCCTTTTTATTGCATGGCTAGACTCCTTTAAGATGTGTTGCATTCTTATTTTCTAGTATTCAGAGCAGAAGACTCAAATACTCATAGACACCTGACAGAGTTTGTCGGTCTGGATATTGAAATGGCATTTAACTACCATTATCATGAAGTGGTGGAAGAGATTGCAGACACAATGGTGCAGATATTCAAAGGACTCCAAGAGAGGTAAAGGGGGATTTTTGTTTTCTTGTTACTGTAAACGTAAAGGGATGTGAGAGTACTGTAAACTGTTTATTCAGGAAATAAAGTTTATGCTTTGGAAAGCCCAGATCCAGTTTCTGACCAGTGCTTGAAATCCTTCGTGCGCAAGTGGACTGGGGAAGTCCCAAAGCTTTGCATTTTATGACAGGCTTGCCATCTGCTAGACTGTTGACTGCTAATGTGTGAGGGATGCCTTGGACTGTGTGCATAGCAGACTTCAACTTTCTGCATCTTGTGGAAATGACTAAATACCTGACTACTATTAATCAGCAAGGTCCAGGTATCATAGTGTGCTGGAAAGAATGACAAATTCTCTACTTAAGAACTATAGACCTCTGACTAATAGGAATGGGCACGAACCAGGAAAATGGAGGTTTGTGGGGTCTCACGAACCTTCCAGGTTAACCAACCGGTTCATGGGGTTTGGGGAAAGATCTGAGATCTTCCTTCCCACCTTCCTGCTGGTGATGGCTCCCCGGGGCCCGCAGAATGGGGGGAGGGGAGAGCTTGCAAAAGCCATTTAAAGGGAACATTCCCTTTAAATGGCTTTTGCAAGCAGGCGCCACACATGAATGAAGTCCAAGCAACGAGTGCACCACTTCTGGGTGAACTTGCCATTTGGACTTCACTGGCACGTGGCACCCACTTGCAGAAGCCATTTAAAGGGAATGTTCCTTTTAAATGGATTTTGCAAGGCATTTCAGCGATCCCTCATGAGGTCTGTGCCCATCCCTACTGGGTTATTTACTGACAGTAGAAGAGGGATATGTGCAGGGCTGGCCCGTCATAGAGAATTTTTAGGCAGCGACCTAGAGCAGCCTCCTAAGAGGGTGTGCCCCGTGGCCACTGTCCTGCCACCCCTCCCCTCTCTCGCATAAACAGGGTAGGCTGAGGCGATACTGCTGCGACCCCGCACAGCTGTGGCGGAGACCAGCTTCCAGGCGCACTCCTCCGTGGATTCCATGCTTCTCCGGCCTCCAGCGGGCCCCCTGCCAGGCTCCGCCCTCCTTCCCGCGCGGCTCTGCCCTGCACTCCGGCACCAGCCTCAGGCAGCAGAGCCTCCCTGCTGCGGCACTCGCTCGCTGCTGCGCGCCCACCCGCAGAGGCCGTGCTGGGCAAGGACTACATGCTGGCCATCATCCTGGTCAACTGCGACAGCCGACCCTGACATGGGAAGGGGGGTTCAGGAGGGGTGCCCTTCCCGGGAGGAAAGCGAGCAAGCAGCCGGGCTGAGGCCACCCCCGGCAGCGCCCGTGTTCCCTTCTTCCCTCTTCTTCTTCCTTGGGGCTGTCGTGCTGGAGCAGGGGGCACTCCAGGGGGGGGGGCGCCAGAAAATTGGTGAACACACGGGGGGGGAGGAAGGTAGCCTCGCCTAGTGTACAAAAAAATCTGGAGCCAGCCCTGGATATGTGTTAGCCAGTGAAGTTCATTGCCAGTATTTCTGATGACTACTACCATAGCATTAGGGCTGGAGGCAGTGTTGGATAAGTTGTTAATGGCTCATAGCCATGGTGGCTTAGGAGGGAACTTCTCTGTTCCCAGGTGTCATATCTCAAAGTAAAGAATTGAGCATAGCTGTCTGTGTGTCTCATTTGTGAGCTTCTCTTGGGTATCAGACTAGCGACTGTTGGATATAGAGTACTGGGTTAGATGGACCTTTGGTCTGATACAGCATTGCACCAATGTTCTTTCTAAGCTGAGTTAGTGTGAGCTAGCTCAGTTTTTTTTAGCCTCCAGCTCACACATTTTTGTTCTAGCTCAGGAAGGATGGCTCCAGAGCAAACGAATTTATGCAGTAGCCAAATCGCTCGCTCACAACTTTAATGCCAGTAGCTCACAAAGTAGAATTTTTACAAGACTCCAGAGCTTAGAGGGAGCATTGCATAGCACTTCTTATTCTTTCCTTGCAGGATTGTTTTTCAGATTTAATGGACACCGACAACATCCTTCAATCATTATATGAGAAAAGCAGTAATGCATTTTTTTAACATGCCTGGTGCAAAAAAAAAAAGTTAAAAGCATTCCCTCTTGATAGGAAAGTCAGAAAACGAGTCAGCTTTTGCATGATGCTAGAGTGAACTCTAGTGGTGAAGGATGGTATTGCTTTTTTCTCATTCTCTCCTCGATATGTAGAAAATGGTTCTTCTCCATGTACAGGTTCCAAACTGAAATTCAGACAGTGAATAAACAGTTTCCATGTGAGCCATTCAAGTTCTTGGAGCCAACTCTGAGGCTGGAGTACCAGGAAGCCCTGGCCATGCTTCGGGAAGCTGGAGTAGAGATGGGCGAGGAAGAGGACCTCAGGTATGGCCTTATTAGTACAATGCAGGTGAAACACCTTCTCAACTTCATTTAGACTGTATCTCTTGAAAATGAACTCATGCATTGCCAGACTCTCATGTAAATCTCAAACTTGTCTTTAGGAAGTGCTGTAGATTGATACACAGACAGAATGAAGGAGCATTTCAGTACTGTGAAATAAATTTCCTCATAGAGAGAATGCAATGTCTAAAAAAAACCTCTCGCAGTCATCGCAAGGGAAAACCATACAGAACATCTATAGAGAGAGCCCTGAGACAGAGTCTAACTCCTAGGCATGGGGAATATAGACTTGGTAGCGGTGGGTGTGGCTGAGCCTTCAGTACATTATGAAACCAGTGTTTGTTCTACAGACCCTTTCCCCCTTTAATGCTCCTGAAAGCAATGGGGGTGAATCTCACCCACTGAGCAACAAACAAAAGTGTGACTTCTCTTGCTGTCAGTCAGATGCCATCTAGTGAAAGACTAAATAAAATCCTTTCGTTCACTCTGGAATATCAAAGTGCATTCTGGGAACATTAAACAAATCAGTGATTTGGTTTAACTGACTGACCGAATGTTTTGACCCCTCCAGGTAACCAACAGGTGCTTGAGAGCCTACTGAGTAATTTTTTCCTCTACATAAGATTAAGAAATCTGACCATTCTGCTTGCCAGAGGTCATTTCGGGGGGGAACAGGGGAACGCAGTTCCCCCGGGTGAGGTGCAGGGGGCGGGGCACATAACGAAGCCCCGCCCCCAGCTTCCGGCCGCCCCGCTTCCGGCCCTCATTCAGCCAGGAGGAGGCAGGAGAAGAGGGAGGGTAAGTTGCTTCCTCCCCGCCTCTCCCCACCCCTGCCTGCCTGGGGCCAGGGAGGGCCTTGGCGGGGCTTCCTCACACTCCCGCTGGCCTTGCAGGTCCACCGCCGGGCCCCTGATGTCAGTTATGCTAATGAGTTCCCCTAGCTATTTTTCTACGAAATGACCCCTGCTGCTTGCTAGTGGGGTGGGATTGTGAAACAGACCATTTATGTGCTTGTTTAGTTTGAAAATGTGCCCCATGAAGTCACTGGGTTTCAGTTTCATGTTAAGTCTACCTAGGATTGCAGTGTCAGAAGCAAGCTTGACTTGGGCCCGACTCCCTGTAAATGTGCGGCAGGTTATGTCTTCTTGTTTCCCAAAGGAAACCCTACAGCACTGACTCTTACGGTAGAACAGCATCACCAAACTGAAACCCTGGCATTTACATTTCTGTGGCATTTTCAAGTGTATGACGGATTGCAGCCAAGCTTCGTAGCATGTCCAAGGTCACAGATCAACACTGGAGAATGGGATAAGTCTAGGGAAAACTCACTCCTTTCTCCTTCCAACCCCTGGGAAACATGGCGTGAGTGCCAGCCTCCTTTGTAAGGCTTTAAAATTTAGAGGGGGCAGTTTAAGCTCTTGTCACTTCTGAGGCATGCACGATAGACGTTCCCCAATCCTTTCTTCTTTTTTCTCTTTAGTACGCCAAGTGAAAAGCTCTTGGGCCGTCTGGTCAAGGAAAAGGTAATCCCTCCCCTTGCAGTTTCACTCCTTGAAATAGCAGCAACATACCTTTTGTACTAAACACTCTTTGAGTAAGTAGGTTGGTCACAGAGAACATCAGAGTATCTTTGTAGGATGGCATTCATATAGAACATCGTTCTACTTTTATTTGCTCTAATATGTTGTTGTCTTAGAAAGTTTGGAATGTAGTGGATTGACAGCCACCGGTCTTGAAGCTTCCTGTGCTTGAAGTTTTGTATAAAAATGAGTATCAGCCCTACTGAATTGTATCATGTAAAAATGTGTGTTTCCTTTTCAATTGCCTTGCACTGATTTTACTTCTGCTCTTTTGCAGTATGACACAGACTTCTATATTCTGGACAAATATCCCCTGGCTGTAAGACCTTTCTATACAATGCCAGATCCAACAAATCCGGCAAGTAAAGCTTTATGTGACCGGCAAAGTTTTTTAAAAGTGAAATGCTACTGAGCATTGCAGATCATTTCTACATCCCTGGAACTGATTTTGTGCCACAAGTTCCTCATAAAACTGTAGCTGGTCCCTTCTAGTTGCTGAGTAGGTGTTGTGTATTCTGGTAAACTGGGTTTTCCCTCTTTGTGATGCTATCTTGCAGCATACTTGCTTAATGTAGTCAGTTTTGCGTAGGGCAGATTTGGGACTCACTTGGGTTATGCGAAAGTATTGTGACCTGATTCTGTGCATTGTTGTTCTGAAGAACAGCTTCATAAGATCAAATATTCAGGTTCCAATGCTAGTAGAACTGGTTTTCTCATGACAGTGGTTTGGATCCAAACCTTGTTTTCCGCCAATGTAGGGCATTTCCACCCCCTCATGGAGGCATCTCCCCACTCCAGACTGACCCACTACAGTGAAGTTCTGTTCCATCAGTATAGGTCCACTGAGTGCCTTGGACCCATCCCACTCTTAAGAGCCATCGACATCCCAAGCACTAGTGCAAGAGCAGCACTCTTGTTGTCCGTGCTTCTCTACATCTCCTGCATAACACAGCTGTGGGTCTCAAGATGCTTTCTAGATGAGGTTGGGGGGGGGGGGGGGGGGGGGAGGAATATGCACTGCCCTGTGGCATTACCCTGTGCTGTCATTCCCTAGCTGGCAAACAGCAAAAAACCCCTCTGTGCCCATTGTGAAGTATCAGATAAATGAGATGGGTAGAAAAGGGTGCACTGGGCTTGTTTGAATATTACTATATTATATGATTTTGCTGCTCCCGTTTATAGATGTCTTAAATGTTGTAGCTGTTAGGTTCATTCTTATCTTCAGCGTTTTATGTGCTTAATTTGAGTGCATTCCAAATGGAGCCAGTTTGGAAAGGCAGCTAATGAACGAAAAGTAAATAGATTCGTTCCGGTGACGAAAAATTTCCCCGTAGAAGAGTGAATAAACATTAAGAGCCCGCTAGTCTCTTGAACTGTCTCCACTTTATCTACACACTTCTGCACCTGGCATACAGTGAGAGCTGTTTAAAGCGATCATCTGGATAATGCTGCTCTGATCCACCAAAGCAGTTCTTATTATTCACATAGCCCCTTCAGTGTACTATTCTGAGTACAAGTCGGCAGGTCCGTCTCACAATGTAGAATTGGCCACACCAAAGACAACAAGGTGGGGGAGGAGCCTGGAGCATGTAAGCAAGAATGTGTATCTTTTAGTTACACATGCACAGGCTGAGGCTGCCGTCACACACACTAAATAGTTCACTTTCAGTCCACTTTCCAACTGGATTTTGCCAGTCCACACAGTAAAAAACCAGTTGGAAAGCGCAGTGGAAGTGGATTGAAAGTGGATTATTTTGCATGTGTGACTGCAGCCTTAGCTCCAGTAGGGAAGGGAGGACAGACTGGGCTGAAGGCTTCGGAGGTCACCTTGATTTTCAGAGTGAGCCTTTCTAGTCTTGCATCCTGTTTCCAAAGGCAGCAAGCCACTGCCTCTGGAAGTTCAAAACTCAGGGACCGATTTTCACACAAGAGCGGCGCCGCGGTCGCACCTCCCTTTGCCCCGCTTCTATTGGTCAATTTCCCACTCGAAGCCGCGTGGCCGCATTTTGACCCGCAGCTTCGCCCGATTTTCCCCATGGTTTCGTGATCCCAAAAAAACCAGGATCACGGAACCACAGGGAAAATCGAGCGAAGCTGAGCCGTAGGTCAAAATGCGGCCGTGTGGCTTCGAGTGGGAAATTGACCAATGGAAGCGGGGCAAAGGGAGGCGCGAACACGGCGCAGCTCTTGTGTGAAATCGGTCTGGGTGTGAAGGAGATAGACATCATCCTCAGAGAACAGAGATTTCAGTTAGCTATTGTGGTTAAACAGCTACGGATGGAGCCGTGCTTTGCATTTTGTCAAATCCGTTTTTAACAGCCATCTAAGCTTGCATCACATCTTCCGTGTTTTAATTGTGCGTTGTGTGAAGTATTTTGGTCCTGAACCTCCTGCAAATAAACTTCACCGAGGGAACAGAATTCTTGGTGTTATGAGGGGGAGAAAAATGTCCCTCACAATTAGGGATGTTAGCTGGCCACTTCACATGGGCATTCTCCCACTACTGGGCCTCTGGGGCCAGAGGGAGAACAGTGAGTGTGTGTGTGTCGGGGGGGTAGAGGTTAGTTAAAATTATGAATTGTACTGCGGTGGCTGAAGTGGTTAAGACGCTGAACTGCAGGCTGTGGAAGGTCAGTAGTTCAGCAGTTCGAGACCCGAGTGTGCCGCATGACGGAGTGAGCTCCCGTCTCTAGTTCCAGCTCCTGCCAACCAAGCAGTTCGAAAGCAAGAAATTGCAAGTAGATAAACAGGTACCACTTCGGTGGGAAGGGAACAGCGTTCCGTGCGCCTTGGTGTTTAGTCGTGCCGGCCACATGACCATGGAAATGACTTCGGACAGCGCTGGTTCTTCGGCTTTGAAACGGAGATGAGCACCGCAACCCTAGAGTCGGATTCGACTGGCTTTCGAGCAAGGGAACCTTTACCTTTACCTTTTTCTGCAAGTAGGGATGCCAGGCAGCGGGGGCAGGGTAAGGAACGGACACGGAAGATGTTCTATGTGTCAGTGCTGCATCCAGGCAAAAACCCGGATGTGTCATCAGCATGTCATGTGATGCTCCAAATACCATATGGTAACCCTACCGAGTTTCTACAGAAAGGCTTTTGTCCGGACGCAACATCAACATGTAGAGCAACATCATGTCTGTTCCTTGCTCTTCCCCACAAAGTGCTTGGGAATGCCAGGCAACGCTGTCCACAATATTAAAAGATTCCTGCCATAGGAGAAAAAATAATGATTATGCTGAAAACATTTCAGCCTTTTCTGCTCTCATGAGAAATAAGAGAAGCTATGCTTTAAAAAACAGTACGATTGTATCTGACGTTCTAAGGTCACTGCTGTAATCTCCTGTCCAGAAATGGCACACGGAATTAAGTTTTCTGTTATATTCAGATTAAAATTCATTTAAGGTGGCAGAATGTTATGTGAAGTCTCTGAGTGATGCTTTAAAAAAAAAAAAGAGCTGTGCTCTGTGGTCTTGTTGGCACACGTGACCTGCCAAGCAGCCATCCAGTTACTTCCCAGTTGCCAGCTACTAAGATACCACTTCCTGCCTGGAAGCAAGATCCCCTGGAGATGCCCTCTTGAACATCCCACAGACCAAAGCAGCTCATCTAGCGGGTACAAGAGAGGGGGCCTCTTCACTGCCAGCCCCATGGCTATGGAACGGCCTCCCCCGGGAGGCACACCCGGCACCCTCGCTCTTGACCTTTAGGAGGCGGCTGAAGACTGTGAGATTCATGGCAGCATTTGATTAGTTCTTCTGCCTACCTGCAGTTTTAAATAGTTGAATTTTAAGTCCTGTGTTTTTTGTATTGTGTTATTGTTTACATTGTAAGATGCCGTGAGTTCCCATAAGGTAAAAAGGCAACTAATAAACATTTCAAGTAAATAAGTAAATAAACTTCTCTCTTCAGAAAATCTCCAATTCTTACGACATGTTCATGAGAGGAGAAGAGATCTTGTCCGGAGCTCAGCGAGTTCATGATCCGCAGCTGCTGACCGAGAGGGCCCTGCATCATGGCATTGGTACTGCCTTATTTAGTTCTGTGTATTTACCTTTACATGGCACGAGGGTGTCAGTCAGATTTCATACTGCAGAGTCAGTGCACATGGCAGTAGTGGGGTTGAAGGAGGTAACTGACGTCTTGACTTTGCACGTGCACTTGTGGACACTTGGAATGTTCTGATGTTAAGCAGAATGTTGAAACCATTGTGTATGCAAATTTTTTAGTGTGCAGGTGAGAATACCTGGTGTCGTGTGGCCGCTAAATGATTAAGGTGCAAATAAGTTCCAGGCTTGAACTTTCTCTTGCCCGTAAACTCTCCAGCTTCAGCTTCCCATCCACACTGATTTCTGACCTTACTTATTGGGGTTGTTAGGACTATCTCAACATAATGCACATTAAGCCATCTGATTATTCTAAAGGGCAATATAACAGCGAAGACTATTACTTGCAAAGACTTATTAGACCTCAGTTTTTAGTTTAGTAATCATTCTTATGTTGGTTGGGTTTTTGTTTTCTTTTTGGGTCGGGGAGATCTTTTTGTGTACCTAGTGCCTGCTTAACCAGGCCCTTTATCCAGTATGGAATGTAACAAAGCTAGAGCTTTGATAGGCAGAAATAGCCTTCCCCCATTTTGCAGGTTCTTTGCTGCTGAAGGAAAAGGATTAGCAGGTGTGCTCTTGTTGAGAAGTACCAAGTCCTGATATTGGTCCAATCCATCAATTCCCCCGAGTCTTACCCCAGGAGGAAGGAGTACAATTTAGATGTGGTCTTGACTTCAAAGCCTAATTTGCACAACCCAGTTCCAGGGTTCCCACTAACATGCACCAGCCTATGCTGGTTTCCCCCCCAGTGCAGAGCTCATTAGCTCAGCGCAGGTGCCCTCATGGGCAGGCCCCACCCTCCGCTCTCCCTCTATCGCCCAGGGAGGAAGAGGCACAAAACCAAGCCTCCGCTCCCCCCATGGGCCGAGGAGGAAGGGGGGAGGAGCTGCCAACCCTTTAAAAGGAACAGCTAACTTGGAAGCAGGGGGAGCAAAAAGGAGCCCTGAAATGGCTGACCGCCCTTTAAAGCAAGTAGCTGACAGGTAGACCCATTATGCTGCTAGCTTTAAAGGGTCAGAAGTAGGGGGGAGCGAAATGGTGCCCTGAAATGGATGCCAGCTCTTTAAAGCCGATGGGTGGACCCACTTGGAAGGAGAGAAGCCAAACTGAGAACTCTAAAGGCTGTCTTTTTTCTTCCTTCTTTCCACCTCTCCCCCTTCTTTCCTTCCTTCCCTCCTCTCTCCTTGTCTAGTTGCTTTCTTTCCCTTTCTTTTTCTCCTTTGAATTTCCTTCTTTCCATTTTCCCCTTTCTTTCAATTTCTTTCCCTTTTCCCTTTTCATTTTTTCCCCTTTCTATTCCTTTTCCCCCTTTCCCTTCCTGCCTTCCTCCCTCCCTCTCTCTTTTTATTCCCTTTCTTTTCCCCCTTCCTTTCTTTTCCTTTTTTCTTTCCATTTCTTCATGTTTGTATGTTTGTAAACTGAATTTTTTTAAAAAAAAAAATCAGGCTCACTCACAACTTTTATGCGCATAGATTTTTTGGCTCACAAGGTAGAATTTTTGCTTGCAACAGTCGACAGCTTAGGGGGAACATTGCCCAGTTCCGAAAATACTCATTTTGTTTCCCTTACTTGCTTATATCCTGCTTTTCTTCCCAAGTGGCAACCCAAAGTAGCTTGCAACAAATAAAACAAAATAAAAATACAGAAAATAAAGACTATTTAACTGGAGAATGGGGGAGCTTCTAATTGCTCTGCTGTATCTGGGATAGCAGGCCACTGCATGTGCCTCCCCATGGCCACGATACATTACGTAGGCATACACATGCATGATATAAAATGTAAGCACAAAACAGATGCATTCTCCATCCCCAAAGATTTAAGATGAGTACAAGAGGCCTTTCATGGCATGCCTCCATCTTCTGAGTACCTGGACGAGGGCTATTTTGGTAGTGGTCTCATTTGTCCCGAAGAAAAGCTACACTGCTGTGACCCATTTAGAACAGGCATAACTATCTTGTTAGTTTACTGGGGGGGTTGTGATGCTTTCCTAGATTGTTGTTGTTTTTTAATTTTAAACACTGAAGTATTGTTGACTTCAGTTGCTTCATTGTTTATGTTGCAGGTGAGTTTGATTTTGCTTGTTTGTTAAAGTGGGGGTAAAAAAATAAATAGTGGGCAGAGACTGTTCCTGGGACTCGGATCGTGCAAAGTGATCTACCTGCCGAGAATGAAGGGAAGCAAGCAACCGCTTTGCTCAAACAGCTGCTTCTTTGTCCAGCAAGAGCCTTAACAGACTTTCAGCCACAGAAGCAATTTGCCTTCAGAGGATTTCCTTCGAGTTGGAGGTTTCCATTCTGCGCAGGGCCCATGTGTCAGGCCCGCTTTGATTATAGTACAGCTTCATCCATCCAGATCCTTGAGGGACTATCAAAAGCAGTTCAGATAAATAGGACTGATTGATAGGGTTATGTAGTCATATGGGTTTATGTGCAGGAGATGCACAAGGCAGATTTGGATACCTTCAGGCTTTTCCAGGTAGTAATTTTTTTCCGCTTGGTAAATGTGCAGCTGTTTATCCTTGGAGGGAGATTAGCTAGCCTGTTGTTACATAGACGAGAAAAAGAGCAAGATTACCCCCATCTCCTTCTAGGAGTATCCTGCTGTTCTTTTCATTCTTGGGGGGGGGGGAGGTTCTTTGAAGTAGTAAGCATTCCCCATGTCAACGCTGCAGTTAACTTTTACAAAAGCCGTAACAGGCTGTTCTTCCCATGTAGCATTGGACTGCTAGTGCCAGATGCTGAGCTTTCCAGGGAGGTGACTAGAAACAGCTTTAGCTTTGGGATTATTTGGGTTCTCTCCTCAGTATAAGATTCTATACACACACACACCATGTTTCGTGAGAATTAGACCCATAGTAAACTAAAATTATTTCCTTTTCAGATTTGGAGAAAATTAAGTCTTACATCGATTCCTTCCGTTTCGGTGCACCTCCCCACGCAGGTGGCGGCATAGGTAACGTAGCAGCATTATGACGACAGCAGCATTTTTGAGCACGGGTTTTACAGGGGCATGTGCACGGTCAGCATTCTAAGCTAGTGATCTCTGAGGACTTACAAAGAAAACTGTGTCGGAAGCAGAAGCCTGCTCCTTAGCTTTCCACTTCCCCTCAGTGGGATATGGAGTTATTGAGAAAACAAAGCCGTTTTCTATTTGAGATGAAGTTATTGCTACCTTTATTCTGGAGCCTATAATGTTTTTATACTCAGTGTTGGGCTTTTGGGGGGTGGGTTATGATGACATTCTTAAGGTGTGCTTCCCCACAAGAAGGGTGAAGAGGTTACAAAGGAAAGCCAAGGTTCCCATCCCTGTCTTCTCCTCATCCTTTCAATAGGGAGCTTGGGAGGCCTTTGTAGGTTAGGATATGTTGGGGAAATGTTGGTGATCTCCTTTCTTCCATTAGTGCTTCCACATCCCGACCACTTTAATTTTTTGTTTTACCCCAGTCTGCAAAAACAGTGGAACCCCAGCAGAATGGGAAATGGCTGTGGGGAGGGGTAACTTACATCAAAGAATTGCCATTCGTAGGAGCAGTTAAGCACCCAGATACGCCATCTCCCCCCCACATTCAATGTTACTTTGGCAATCCCGCCACTGGGACCATACATTTGCCAAGATAACATCTGGCTTGGCCTGTACTTTCCTTCATTAAAATAATTTGGATGCTGTGTAAATTGTGACTGTAGATACATGCGCTTTAAATATGAACATGAACAAAAATGACACATCGTGGAAGACTTCTGCCGGTAGTACTAATCCATAACAATGGCTTCTTAGCTGAGCAGTTTGCAGTTGCATAGACTTGCCATAAGTCTATCTGTTGTGGATCTAGTGACCTTCCTTAAGAGACGAGGACTCTTGCTTAATTGACCCTGAATCAGCATGACTGTCTTCCACAAAACCATGACTTGCACACCCAACTGGAAGCTCAATAAGCCAGTCTTTTGAGTCGTGTGGCACAGATCGCATGCAAAGCGCTGTGCTGCTCTACTTCTTCAGACCTTGTTCAGAATCCAAGGAGATAATAATACCTTTGTTTCAATTAATTTTTAGATTTAGTTCTGTTGCGGCTTTAGTGGTGGGCCCTTCAGTTACTGAGTGTCTCTGTATAAACGTGCACACAACTGAGTCTTTTAGCTGATTGAGTTTAATTTTTACAGGATTGGAAAGAGTAACCATGTTGTATCTCGGCTTGCACAATGTCCGACAAACCTCCATGTTCCCGCGCGATCCCAAACGTCTGACGCCTTAAGAAGTCTGGAGTTTGCAGCCTTTGTCCATGCTCTCAGTGACCTCACACCCAGCCTAGTGGAAAGCTATCTAATCTACTGAAGTGCCACAATGACAAATGTTCAACTCACTTATTACTAACATCTTAAAGTCAAGTATTTTAACAAACCTGGACTCTATGGTAGACAACGTCATCTTTTTAATAAGAACATACTTGATGAAGTTGAGAATAATATTATCATGTTGTACTTTAGGAAGTTTCTAAACACTTGAATTTTAACAATATTCCTAGTTGTGTAAAAAAAAAAGATGAGTGTTGTTTTTTTAACATACGACGACAACGCTATAGATGTCAGAGTTTGATCCTAACAGTCATGCAAAAGACATGGAAAAGTAGCAAATTGCACAAGGGTTATTTTGAGAAGCAGCTGAGAAATTATGGACTAAGTTTGAATTTACTGAACTGTAAACACAGGTTGCAATAAAGCTCCCACCTATACTGTGTCCTTTTTTATTCCCTGTGTTGGTCTTATTCAGGAACTAGAGGTGTGCCCACAATATGTAATGGTAGCTTGGGCTGCAGCAGCAACTTGTAGCCAAAATCAGATTTATAGCAAACACCATACCCCACCTTTCTTCTCAACAGGTATCCAAGTGGCTTATACAGAGAGTGAATATAAATGGGCAATTTTCTCAGTGGAGGGTGGTAAGCAGTGGGGTACCGCAGGGATCAGTACTTGGTCCAGTGCTTTTTAAGTTGTTCATTAATGATTTGGAGTTGGGAGTAAGCAGTGAAGTGGCTAAATTTGCAGATGATACGAAGTTGTTCGGGGTGGTGAAAACCAGGGAGGATTGTGAGGCACTCCAAAGGGATCTGTCAAGGATGGGCAAGTGGACGTCAACATGGCAAATGGGGTTCAATGTGGCCAAGTGCAAGGTGATGCACATTGGAGCCAAAAATCCTAAATATAAATACACATTGATGGGGTCTGAACTGGCAGAGACTGATCAAGAGAGAGATCTTGGAGTTGTAGTGGATAACTCACTGAAAATGTTGAGACAGTGTGTGACTGCAATAAAGAAGGCCAATGCTATGCTGGGGATTATTAGGAAGGGTATTGAAAACAGATCAGCCAATATAATAATGCCCCTATATAAATCAATGGTGAGACCTCATTTGGAATACTGTGTGCAGTTCTGGTCACCACACCTTAAAAAGGATATTATAGCTTTGGAAAAAGTGCAGAAAAGGGCAACTCGAATGATAAAAGGGTTGGAACACTTTCCCTATGAGGAAAGGTTAAAGCACTTGGGGCTCTTTAGCTTGGAGAAACGACGACTGAGGGGTGACATGATTGAGGTTTACAAGAGTATGCATGGGATAGAGCAGGTCAAGAAAGAGGTACTTTTCTCCCTTTCTCACAATATAAGAACTCGTGGGCACTCCATGAAATTGCTGAGCGGTCGGGTTAGAACGGATAAAAGGAAGTACTTCTTCACCCAAAGAGTGATTAACACATGGAATCCACTGTCATAGGAAGTGGTGGCGGCTACAAGCATGGACGGCTTCAAGAGGGAATTAGATAAGCATATGGAGCAGAGGTCCATCAGTGGCTATTAGCCACAAGGTATAGATAGGGACTCTGGGGCAAGTGATGCTCTGTCTTCTTGGTGCTTGGCGGGATCAACAGTGGGAGGGCTCCTAGTGTCCTGGCCCCACTGGTGGACCTCCTGATGGCACCTGGTATTTTTGGCCACTGTGTGACAGAGTGTTGTTATTAAGTGCTTATATTGTTCTCCTCTCCTCCATTTTATCTTCACAGCTACATGAGGTAGTTTGGCTGAGAATGTGTGAGCAGCCCAAGGTTATCTAGGAATCATCCATGGCACAGATGGGTTTCAAACCCAGATCCTTGTCTGACGTTCTAACCACTCCCACCGCACTGACTCTGGTAGCACAGGAAATTCTTAAATCCCCTAGCCCCTTGTAAAGGAGGGCATGTCTTCTGTCCTCCCTATTTGTGCTGCCTTTCTCCCCAGTGAGGGACCCAAAGCAGTGTATATTGTTTTCCTCTCCTCACAACTACCATTGGGAGTAGGTAAGGCTGAGAGTGTGTGACAGGTCCAAGGTCCCAGCGAAGTTTCATTTGATTTGAACCTGGGTCTCCAAGAGCCTAGTCCAGTGCTCTAACCTCTATACTGCACAGGCTGATAGGTCAGGGCACTTGTAACAGGTTATTTTCCATCTCCGTGGCTGGGCTTCCTGCCAGGACCTGGCTGTTTTCTGCTTTTTTTTCCAGTTCTGCTGCTGCTGCCACATCACAGCTTGCTTTACCACTCTTTTGCATTTGCATAGGATAGATAGGCAAATCTCTCCTATGTGATTGAGAGAGTCTGGTAAAGAACTGGCTGAGGCTCCTCCCCACCCTCCTTCCGGGAGAGGGAGGTAACAGCCAGAGCTTGCTTCCTGGCTAGGCTGCAGGAGACAAAGGGCAGCCTTTCTTTCCTTCCACTGGCTGAGGCTCCTCCCTGAAGGAAGGGAAGGAATGAAGGAGAGCTTGCTTTGCTGGATTGCCTCAATCACATGGGAGAAATACCAAGCATCTTTAAGGCCAACAAAGTTTTGTTCAAGATATGAGTTTTTGTGTGTGTGTTTTGTTGGGCTCTTTATGCCAGGGCTCTCCTGGGTGCAACTGGGTTCCCTCCCCCTTTCCACTGTATCCATGCCCTCATGAGCCAGTCTTTCTCAGTAAGAAAACAATGTGAACTATTTTAGAGGAGCTCTACTGGTAGCAGGAGCTCCTTTGCATATTAGGCCACACACCCTAGTGTAGCCAATCCTCCAAGAGCTTACAGAGCTCTTCTTACTGGGGCTACTGTAAGCTCTTGGAGGATTGGCTACACTAGGGGTGTGTGGCCTAATATGCAAAGGAGCTCCTGCTACCAGTAGAGCCCTGAACAAGCCAGTGAGGTATATTAGGCTGAGTGTGTGTGTCCAGTCCAAGTTCACCCAGCACATTTCCTTTGTAGGAAGTTGTAGTTATTTCTCTCAAGAAGACTATGGTTTTGTAGACAAACACATGGCCCTCAGTCTGTGTCAGGATGCCTTCTCATGTTCTTGACCAGCACATGAAACAACTTATGTACAAAAGGTTGTAATGCCCAGGCATTTCATGTTTTCCCCTGGGTCCTAGGCTAGGAACACTGAACGTGAGATTTCTGTAATGAATGTCAATAAATCAAAAGTAGGTCTGCAGCTTACAGATACACACCTGAACAGCATACTCAAGATTGCAACAGCACAGACATTTTGAATGCCTTGATTCAGAGTAGAGGTGTCAGTTACCAGAGACTGTTAAATAGACAAAATATTGCAAGAGTGCTAGTGTTTTAAGCATGTTTTATTTAATGTTTTAAAAATTTCTGTGTTAGTCTGTGTCCTCCATAAAGTTTATATCTCTGCTACCTGGCATTACATTTTATGACACATGGCCTGGCCCAACAAGGTCTCATTTATGTCAGATCCGGCCCTCATAATAAATGAGTTTGATACCCCTGCTCTAGAGCATCACCTCAGACTTAAAAACTGGTGTAAAAGGAGGGAACTTGGTTTGAGTTTTAACCTCCCAACGCCATTGCAGGAACTGCACCTGCTCCTTGGCCAGAGGCTGGGCAGGCAGCTCTTAGTCTTTGGGCTACCTGTGCCATGGTGGCCATTTGCTGCGCCCTCGCAGCCCAAAGTGGGCGTTTAAGATCTGGTGTCCCCACAGCCATCCTGTTGCCCTGACCGTGTGCCTAACGGCTGCTTAGAAGAACCAAGGCCCCGGGTTCTGCTGCCGCCACATGCCACCTCCCCCACTGCAGCCACCCTCCCGGGGCCAACAGCTGAGCAGCCTTCCCCTTGTTTTCTCCTTACCTAGCCCATTTTTTCCAACTCTCTTCTTTCCCCTCAACCATCTTCTCCAATTCTCTGCCTCTCCCCTAGCTTGTCTTCCCCTCCTTCCCCTGGCTTAGGGTTGCCAGGCCCCCCTTGGCCGCTGGCAGGGGATGGGAGGGGAAGGTTGCCAGATCCAGGTTGGGAAACTCTTGGAGATTTGGGGAGGGCAGGGGGTACAATGTCATAGAGTCCACCCTCCAAAGCATCCATTTTCTCCAGGGGACCTGTTCTCTGTAGTCTGGAGATGAGCTGTAAGTCCAGGGGGTCCCCAGGTCCCACCTGGAGGCTGGCATCCCTCCCCTGGCTGCTTTTTCCTTTTCTGGCTGCCCCACTGCAGCTAGAGCTGGGGGGGGGGTAGAGATGCCACTCAGGCAAAAAGGCACCCAGAAGCTGCTCTTGGCTGGCCTTGGTGCAGTAGCTGCATGTGACTACCTCCCCTGCTCCTGAACAACTTCCTGGGGCTGGGCTGAGAGCAGCCTGCTGTTTGGTGGTATGGGTGGCACCAGGAGCGAGTCCCGTCCAGATCAGAACGCCTTTTATCTGGGGTGGGCACACATGAGCAGCCCCTCCCCCAAAAGAAAGCAGCAAGCTTGGAGTATGTGGACTGAAGGGGAGGGGCACCTCAGCACCCACCAGCCAACCAGCAGTAGCACAACTTCTTCTTTGCAGCTTGAACAACCAGGTGTTTATAGGTTTTTCTAAGGTCCTAGGCTAGGAACACTGAACGTGAGATTTCTGTAATGAATGTCAATAAATCAAAAGTAGGTCTGCAGCTTACAGATACACACCTGAACAGCATACTCAAGATTGCAACAGCACAGACATTTTGAATGCCTTGATTCAGAGTAGAGGTGTCAGTTACCAGAGACTGTTAAATAGACAAAATATTGCAAGAGTGCTAGTGTTTTAAGCATGTTTTATTTAATGTTTTAAAAATTTCTGTGTTAGTCTGTGTCCTCCATAAAGTTTATATCTCTGCTACCTGGCATTACATTTTATGACACATGGCCTGGCCCAACAAGGTCTCATTTATGTCAGATCCGGCCCTCATAATAAATGAGTTTGATACCCCTGCTCTAGAGCATCACCTCAGACTTAAAAACTGGTGTAAAAGGAGGGAACTTGGTTTGAGTTTTAACCTCCCAACGCCATTGCAGGAACTGCACCTGCTCCTTGGCCAGAGGCTGGGCAGGCAGCTCTTAGTCTTTGGGCTACCTGTGCCATGGTGGCCATTTGCTGCGCCCTCGCAGCCCAAAGTGGGCGTTTAAGATCTGGTGTCCCCACAGCCATCCTGTTGCCCTGAAAGGAAGTACTTCTTCACCCAAAGAGTGATTAACACAAGGAATCCACTGTCATAGGAAGTGGTGGCGGCTACAAGCATGGACGGCTTCAAGAGGGAATTAGATAAGCATATGGAGCAGAGGTCCATCAGTGGCTATTAGCCACAAGATATAGATAGGGGCTCTGGGGCAAGTGATGCTCTGTCTCCTTGGTGCTTGGGGGGGATCATCCAGCCAGGTGCAAGTAGAGGAGTGGGGAATCAAACCCGGTTCTCC